CAGGGCGAATGCCAACCTTAATGAGGGCTGGTATCATCCCATACTCAGAAACGCTCCAAGACTTACTGCCACGAAAAGACAAGATACATCATGGCCAGAACAGCATCTGTGGGAAGTCATTTGTTTAATTACAATTTCCTCCTCACCCTACACAATACCACCCAAAGAGCAGGGAGCGTGGGCCTTGTGGGAAAAGAGGTGCCAAGAATCAACATCAGCTTTGGGACCCATTCCTAGAAATTGAGCCTGGTTCAGAACATAAGCTGGGAGCTCGCTGAACAAGAAGCTTTCCAGGACTAGTTTCAATGACAGATTTTTCCGTGGCAAGCCTGATTTTCACTCTTAAATGTGATGCTAGAGCATGTGTCTTTCTAGGTTGCCTGAGTGGGTGAGCACCCTTGTCAGTAGGAGGCTTGTCCTGTGGCCTGATTGAGGGCCTGGTGAGCTGCTTGTGGCATGCAGAGAGAAGCTGCTGGCCAGCAAAGGCTAGCTCTTCCCGTGATATATTAAAGCTAAAGTGGAGTATGGAACTTGACTATGTATCACATCATGGTTTCTAACAGTAAGTCACCAATTCAAGGACCCCATTCACACTAATTACCATGAGGGTAGAATTTCATGGATTCTGATGATTCACACTCCAAACCATCACATATACTTCAAAGGACATTCCTTGATTTTTTTTTCAGTGCTGGGATTGAACTCAGGATGTTATGTATGTGAAGCAAACATTCTACTACTGAGCTGTATAATAGCCATATGTATTGTCTTTTATATGAAGGGGGAGTGAAATGATAATGTCATCATTTTGTTTAGTGCCACTTACAAATGCTTTCAATTTTATGTAAAATGGGTCATTTCCCCACTTTATAGTCATTACAGACATTTTGACTTGGAGCACCTTGAACTTCAAATGTGGTGAGCTTCTCCTCCCATTACTAACAACTATAAATCTGGAGCCCCCACCTGAACAACACGAGGCCTTACTGTTGAGCAGAACTCCTCTGTACTACCTGTGTAGTACCGTAAGACCTTACCTCTTCATTTTTTTTTTTTTTTTTTT